GAGAGAGAAGAGAGAGGAGAAAGGAGAGAGGAGAGAAGAGAAGAGAGAGAGAGGAGAGAGGAGAGGAGAGAGAAGAGAGAGGAGAAAAGAGAGAGGAGAAAAGAGAGAGGAGAAATAGGAGAACAGGATGACCCCGGACCTACGTCTTCTAAGTGGTTTCGCCCGTGGGATGTCATCATCATTGCATGTACGTATCACGTGTCTGCATTCGGGTTCGTGGCTCCTATCTGGTTTTGGAATTCAAATTGTTGCTTCAGTCAAAAAGAAATGAATAACAATTTAGACTACAACTCAAGTACGAATCTGAATATTATCAAACTTTGCCTCATATAAAGTTCATATGTTAAAAAATGAATTCATAAGATTAATGTAGTGTGGCAATCTCTGCATTCCAACCCTCCGATTTTGCATGTTCTGAAACGCATTCCTCAGTTCCTAAATCCCCAAGTATATGATAAACGTTTCAACATCGACACTGGTTGCGCTCGATTCCAAAGTTTGCAGAGCTTCAGGTGATGCAAAAGGTCTCTCAGTACAGGATCTCTCAGTATGCTCGCACCTGCCATTATCCACTACCCCTCTTCAAAAGCCAACATGCTCTTTATATTTAACTCTTTCTGAAGCTTTTTGGTCGGGATCCAGCTTAGTGGTACTTCATGGAAACCAACTCGTCCCGTCCGTCTTGGCGTCCCAGATTTCTAGACATCTGTGAGCCAGAAACCACACTTATTTCAAGCATGGCAGAAAATCCGGGCTAGTAGACGGGCCGGATTCGAACTACCTCAGTCCAAACTCAAGCCTTGAATATTCACAGCAACATCGGTTTCCAGTTGCGGAAGCCTTGGGTTGCTGTAGGCCTGCGTACTCCTTAGCTGAACACGCGCAAACCTGGAAGAAGCGAAGACAGTATGGACCATGGGAATGATTGATCATGGAGTCGTTCCAGTCTATTCGTTGTAGTTAGTTTGTCTAGAGTCTAGTGAGCGCAAAGTATTTTCCTTGCCAGTGGCACCTGACAGCGAGGTACATTGTTTGCGGACTGGGCAGGGCCCACAGCTCTCTACTACGATCTTGGTGGAGAGTCCCTGGCAGCCTGCCCACACCTTGCCCCACGCTCCCCTCAGCCGGCACACAGTCAAAATGGCAAGCTGACACATGTTCTTCTGGAACCCTTCCCATCTATGCCCACGAAGGTGTTCTCACTCTCCTCGGCAAACGGCTCCCACCTCTGCAAGGGCCTGGGGTCTTGTCCTTGCTCGGCTCCAGCAATACGCCGCGCTCAAGTCTTTTTGGCAACTTCAACCCCTAAACTCTATAAACCAATTAGGTGTCCCTTGGTGATCTTGCACGATATGGGCCCGAGACCTGGATTTCCTTCCGAACTGAAAATCAAAACAGCGTGCTGAAGGCTAGCGTAGGCAGCTCTTGTGGAGCTACATCAAACTGCACCAGCTGCCGCATGTGCTGCTGGAGCTTCTTCTCATAGCGGCCAAAGTCATCCTGACAAGGGGCATGGAAACCAAGGCCACTCCGTAGCTTGCAGCAAATGGCTGGAAGCCGTTTTGAAAGATCTTCCATCTGCAGCTGCCAAGAAGCTAGGAGGGTCTTGTTATCCTTGAGCCGGCGCCAAACCTTATACTGGACGACCAAGCCGACAAAGGCAGCCAGGGCTTGCGCCATGCTTTGGGCGGCCCCGCGGGAGATGGTGTTGGCCTAAAAATGCTACACTGACATTCTGGCACATAGAATTCCAAATTGCACTTTGCAGTATTCTGAACGTACGGAAGGTGAGCTTTCAATCAAGAATATTTCGCCGCGGAACAATGTCAGTGCAGAATGAAGCATCCAACTCCTCGACCCGCTGCCACCTTGTTCCAGCTGAAGTCACAAATGGAACTGTACCTGCTATTGCCTGCGAGAGCTTTACCGATGCTTTTGAGGCAAACTGAGCTCAGCCACATTGCCACACAGTTCAGCAGAGATCTCAAACTTCTCAGTGATGTCAATGTTGGCAGTAGCTCCGACTTTAAATCCCTCGCAAACCTGATCAGCTTCTCTGCAGCAGTTCCGCTCTCATCATATGCGAAGAAATACGGACATGCAAAACAAGCTTTCCAGACAAGGGCGCATTGAAAAAAAACAAGCGTCTGATGTGACTTGTTCAATTGTCTGCCTCTGAGCTGGGCTTGACACGTGCTAAAGACAGGTTGCATAGCTGCATAACTGATTTTGGAACACCCTCGCAGAATCTTCACTCTTTGCACTTTGACTTCCTTCTTTGACATATCTCGCATGCTGAACAGTAGCATGCAGCTGCAAAGACAAGGGGCAGGATCTGGACTTCGTTGGCCATTTCTGTTGCTTCTGCCATGGTCTCTTTGAGAGAGATTGCTTCCGCAACTACATGTTTCTGAAACTCTTGAACGCCACAGTCTCGGTTTTGAACCGACCCATCTTCAGACATCGTGTTGCACTGTAAAGCATCTGCAGCCAGTAGCCTTTCCTTGTTCTGAGCGTAGCGAAGGGCATTACGGACCTCTGCAGGGAGGGATGCCAATTCAGACTCCACGGGTCGAGTCGGGGAGATGACAAAGCCCCCGCCAGAAGTGCCAGAGAGAAAGGTGTACTGCCCAGGGCCTGCGATAAGCTCCGCATAGGTGTTCAAGCCGCGGATGGTTGTGACACTGTCAGGGCCAATCTGATCAGCTGCAGTCAGCCCGGACTTTAGAAGCAGAGCCTCCACGTTCGATCCTAGCAGAAGTCTTCCAAAGGACTCCGTCTCGTTATCTGGTTCCAGAGGGTCAAGCACAAATGTACTCCCGAAGTCCTCTGCGCTGTCAATCAACCTTTGAACAAGATCTGCAGCTTGCACCCCTATAGGTGGCTCAGTCAAGCGATCATCTAAATGATAGAAACTTTCTGCCAGCTCTGCTTGGAAGTCCAATTTATTTCCCCCCAATCCGATTGCTTCCAGCATATCTCCAGTTCGATTGCGGGCTAAGCAGGTCTGAGCGAGTCTCACAGCCTCTCTAGCAGCTCTTGCTTCGTTCGTGTCTTCATCCGTCAAGAAAACGCCAAACACAGAAGCATACCTCTCCAACCCTTCGAAGCTCAGTAGCTCGCCACGCACAAAGACACAAGTCTCTCCCACAGGAACAGTGAGAATAAGAAGGCTGGATCCGAGGGTGAGGGCCAAAACTGAATGCAAAAATGCGCAGCACCACGAGACCAAGTGCAACCTCCCACTTGGAGGCCGGGCAAGGGGATCCTCGCCCATCTTGGCATACTTAAAGCGTGTGCGAAGGAAGGCTGCCCAACCAATCACGGCACCCAGGCCAGCCAGCACTGACACACACAGGAAGAGGGCATGCCGAATGGATTCTACGGCATCTATATGGGGTCTGTTCTTGACCCACAACTTTGCAACAGCTTCTTTAACAACGGCCTCATTAAACAGGCTAAAGGAAATATTCGCATATTTCATGGATTGTGCCAAATCAGTCAGGTTCTGTTGTGTCAGATGGTCTGCTGCTATCCTTCGAATGGTAGCTGTTGCCTGCGACGCTGAGGTCAATATTTCAGATTCCAAGGCGCGCAGCAATCCGGTTGCAGGATACCCAGCCGGCAAAGAGGTGTCCTTCTCCGCACCAAGGGCCAAGTTGCAAAACACACACCGATGATCAAAGAGTCGTCTATTCAAGCTGATTGCTTCCAAGGTGTTGGAGAAGTGCTGGAGCCTGTGCAACAGCATTGCGTGCTTCTGCGCGAAATCCTTCGACTGTTCCATGACCCTGCCGAGGGTTTTGCTGCCGATGCTGTCTGCGTCAAGAGCAACCCCTATCAGGTTGAATCGACGCAAGGCTGGCTCCGTGCCCAAAAACCAGGTCGAGCCATGCAGCACCTCTGCTGCAAAATGATGGGCAACACAGAGACTCCAGTTCACAGAGTTGTGTAATGTCTGGCTGGCCTCCACCATAGAAGAGCAAAGTGCAACCTGGATGGCACTCGCAATGCTCCAAAGCACCACACTGATTATCACATAAACACGGGCTGTCTTGGTGGGCTCTTTCCTCTCTTTGCAGCAGACCATTTGCCGACAACACCTGCAGCAAGCCACAAAGCAGCATGGCAACCACGATAGGAGTAGTAGTATGGACAGTGTCAATGGGATGCCGTATGGGAACAGCAGTGAAATCATGTAGTCCATCCACGCTTGCTCACAGTCGGACATTTCCTGTGATGACGGAGACTTGCCGCATCGCAGCTGTGTTTGAGAAAAGATGTTTCCGACCTGCTCTTGTCGAAAACCTTGAAGAATGTCAGCGAGCGATCCGCTTCCGCCCGGTGGAGCTTCCGCCAGGTTGGGCACAGGATATTCAAGACCTCTCTGAATCACTGAAGGTTGCCGGCTAGGAACTCTCTCACACACAAACCCTTTACTCGTGGCCAAGGCGTCGCTATCGATCGGCGCATCTTCTGGCCAAATCCTGTTTGGCTTAATGTGCCCTGCCAACTGAGCATGGCAACACTCCAATGCGCCAGCAGCCAGGATATAGCAGAGACCAGGTGGAGGCATGGCTCTGAATCCCATGACGGAAGAGTGGCAACATTTCTGCAAGTCCAGAGCTTGGGGAGCCAAGGAGTTTTCGACAAACGGTGCGGATATGCCGCGAAGAAACTGGTGTCAGGCGCACACAGAAGTCGTGGCCTGCCGCCTGCCTAGTTTCATCTTGCGCCCGTGGGAGAAAACTATTGCACCACACAAATGCTGCACAGAAGTAGCTTCAAGAGGGACCTGTGTCACCCAGATACAAGTTCAGGCAGCGAACCGAGTTGAAGAGAACCAGTCGAGGAACGGCCAGAACTTCGTTGACAATAGCATTAAGCTAGGACGACTCCATCTCTACTCATAGCTTCATACGCACTGTTGAGGGCAGCCAAGTACGTTGCACGTGCACGAGACGCCTGGTTCCCAGTGAAGGTCCAAAAGTGGTTGTTCATTGGTTTATGGTAGCTGCTACCAGCAGCCACATACCTTGCACGCGTGGGTGGCAATTCCTTACATCTTGGTACGATTTCGTTGAGCATCAAGGTTTCTGCCTTGCTGAAAACGATTCGTTTTTGGGACCCCTCATATGAGCTGTTGTCAAAGTTGTTGTCCATTTTCGCAACATACCTAGTTGGTAGCACGCGCACTGCAAGAGGCCTGGTTGCTGTTCCTCTTTACTTCCAAAGCTGCATGGCTTTAAATCTAAGCGAAATCCAAGGAACTCAGCTATCCCCCTCCCCACTCCTGCAAAACCCTGAAACAGAAAGCAAGTACCAGGCCCTGGTGTGCGGTCTACCAACTACTTCTGGTGTAGTTAGGGAATAAATGATGATGTCCCTCGAGTTGCTGTTCCAAAGTCCCAGGTCAATAATGTTGTGAAGGTTTTCCAATATTCCGTGCTGCTGCATAGGAATCGTAGGATTAGAACCTTGAATATCTTGAATACAGGAATGTTTGTCAACATTTTCAACCTGCAAGACTTGGCCACGAGGCTAGGATGGCCAAGCTGTGCAAAAGGGATCTAAACGCCTCACACATGTGGCTCAGGCACCGCAAGGCAAATCAAGCTGCCAGTCCGGGCGTGTAGCTCAAGCTGGCCAACTTGCCCCGAATGACTCGCATCAAAGTGCTGCTAGCGCAAAAATGCTCGTTAGAGCCAGCCCGCTGAATTCGGCGTTGTGAAACACAAAAGTGCGCATAGTGTTAATTGGTACATCCAGGACCCTTGGGACCTGACAGGTTTACCTGACATGCTTGTTGAAGCCAGGTGCCACCTATCTGCTATTTCAGAAGTTCGCTCTCGTCCTCCGAAGGTGCTGGGGACGCCGCCTGGGCCAGTCATTGCCATTGCAGATTGCAGACTGCCATGGCCGGGATGTGAGTGCCTTTCGCTGATGTACACGTACTTGGCTGCCAGACGCCTGGCACATGACAAAAATGGAAGCTTCGGACGCATGTTGACCATTTACCATGAAATGCACGAGAGTGCATGAATCACTGAGCAGCGCATTCAATTGACACACAGCAGCGCTTAGCAAAGCTCACCTGAAACTCTGCCTGCATGTCGGTAGGCAGGGTCGGCAACGATCCTTGGGAGGGTTTGTTCTCGCATCTTGCTGTGTCGAGCGATCTGGGTCGCAAACCTGAGCTCTGCAAGCCAGGCGACCCCATTCAGTAACCCACTTCTGTTCACAAATGCCCATGAACACCCTCGCTGCAGAGTGACGCAGTGGGCCGAGCATGGGTGAGCTCGTGGCGCGAGCTTGCCTCATTGACGGTGCCAATGCCTTACAGGCTTCAATTACACAGCTTTGAACGATGCAGTGGTTCTTCTGGGCAGCTTTCCTCCATCAACGGGTAACACCAATTACTCATGGCACAAAGTTCTGAATATCAGCAAAGCAACCGCTGGCAATCCAGCTGGTGCTGGCAAACCTCGTGGGCGACGGCTCATCTCTGTCGGCCTGGGTAGAAGAGGCTCTGAAGCATTCCTTGGTTGAAGATTCGCATCCTTGAGCTCTGTGCAGGATCTGGACTTGTGCAATTCCAAGACCGGACTTACTCCGTCCCCCTCACCCAATGAAAAGAAACCACTACAGCCTTGAACAGTCTGGATTGACGATGCAGCAAAGACAAGTGACCCAGCCAGTGAAGGTCTTCGAGGACGCTCTTCCAGTTTGGACTTGCGGACAAGCAGGGGGCTGCCTATGAATGGACTTATCGACATCTGGGAGCTCTCGTAGCCTGCTCCTGCAGCAACTGTCTCGTAATTCACTTCACCAGATTAAGTCGTCTTCTCAAATTCATCTATCAAAAAGCTGAATGGCCTTCGCGTTCCGAAGCCATGAAGCGAGCAAACTCTGCTGATTCCGGCACGGCCCTTCCTCCCAGCGCAGAAGGTCCGGATTGACGAAGCCGTCGGGGCTCTGAGTTGAGAGGCAGAGAACTAGATCTGCGGCCATCCTTGCCCTTGCTCGTGCTTGCCATTGCATGCGCTGGGCGGCTCTCAGTTCCTGTGTCCTCACTACATGCCAAGGATGTCACTCCCTGACTTGTCTGGGGTAGCCTGTGCTCCTGCATGAGCAGTCCGCCGTCATCATAACTACTTCTAATGTTGTCGGAAGACACTTCCAGCAAATCCTTTGCTTCAAGGTTGGGCTGTGACATGCTACGAAACCCTACAGGCGACAGCCTGTACAACGCTTGGGTGCCTTGTCCCCCTGCCTGAAGCTGATCAAGCTGTCTTAGCGAATCCTTCTCAGGAGTTGTATGTCTGTTGGTCAAAGCCTCGTGCCCAAGCCAGGGCTTATCTGCAAACTGCGCTGATTCAATAGGCCCTTGCAGCTTTTCTTGGGCTTGGTGGCTGAAAGTCACGCCATTGGCAGCACCGTCCATGTGGCCGCCGGTGCTACTGGCACTGCTTTGCATACAGCCTGGCATGATCATCGCGCCATGGGCCTCTTCTGTCCGTCCTGCCTGCTCAGATTGCGGCCCGCCGCTACCGCGCAATCTGCGCAAAGCCCCATCGCAGTCACCGCAGTTGTTTGTAGGTCCAGCCGGCACGCTGGCAGTGGATGTAGATAAGTTCATGTGCTCTGTCCCTTGTTCCACATAGCCAGGTAGCATAGTTGGTGGCATCATCGCTCTTGCTTCCGTCAAATTCTCCCTTGTGGTCGAATTTATTGAACGGTTTGACAATTCCTTGCTTGGACAGCTCTGCTCCGGGTCTAAGGGTACATGAGGCAGTGGCTTCAGCTTTGGCAATCGTTGTGCTCGCTGCTCTATGGCACCGGGAGACAGCTCAGCGGAAGGCAAGACACAGCCGAGGGCTGCAGTGCTGGACTTGCTGGACTTGCCAGCCTGAGCCTGATCAAAAGCCGTGCTCGATCCCGATGCAGCTGTTGAGGGGCCACCCGAATCTCGAGCGAGCTGCGCACGTGCATAAAGGACATCCACAGGAGGGCGGACGGGGCTTGATGGAGACACGATGACACGAGCTTCAGGTTTGCAGGGCTCTTGCTCCACTCCTTTTGGTGCTTTACGTTGTGGGTGAATAAGTTTGCCTTTGGAGCTTGCATCGGCAGCTTCGAAAACACATGGTCTCAATACCTGGAACAAGTCAGTCACAACCTTGGTGGGCGAAGTAGGCTCATCAGTTGTTGCGGACAAGTCCGCCTCCTGCTCGTCTTCCCGTCCGTGTAACACTTGCAAGTTTCCAGACTCATTCAATTGCTTCACAATGTGGTCGTTGACATCCTGGGCAACCTGTACCATTGCTGCCAGGGGGGTGTCGCACAGATCATGCTCCAGGGTGGATAGTAATGAGGCAATGTGGTCCTGAGAATCTTCCCCTTTGCCTGCCATGTCATGGAGCATCATTCGCCCTTTGCCTAGTTTCTCAAGACCCCCGAACATATTTCGGTTTACTCGTTGGCGAGGGCTCTTGAGAGTTCTCTGCAACTGAACTCGCATGCTATTACAATCCCCTTCCAGAAGACTCACAAGGCGAATGATCTCTGCCGTAAAGCGGTCGAAGTCGCTCCGCATGGCATGAAGCCCCTCCAAATTGTTTCCAAAGGATACTTGTAGCTGCTTCAAGGCAACTTCCGAGTTGTTAAAACTTTTGGCAACATTCAGAAACCGACTCCGAACATCATCCGCTCCATCAAAGCCAGACAGCATTTCAGCGAGAGTTTCGGCGATCGCCACCGAGTCGATGTCCCTATGGCCTCCAAAAAGAAAGCGCACATCACCTGCCAGTCTGCGCCACATCTCGTCAGCTTGTCTCGCTTGACGCTGCTTTGTCTGTTCCACGCAGCGCAGTACAATCTGAATGACCGTGCTCTCCAAAATTACAGCCCGTGCCGCTGAACGAACTGCACATACTGCACGGCAACATTTCTCCCGTGCATTGTTGGCAGGACCTGCCTTTGCAAGATACGCCCTCGCATGATGATATATAGCACGGGTTACTGCCGTTTGCGGATAGTCTTCTAGGGCTGAGCTTGGCCGTCTGCTGGGCAGAGCGCTGCTTCTAGCGCAGGAAGAACTCCGTCGGCGTTCCTGGCGTGCGTCTGCACTTGGTGCTCTTGACATGTTCAAGCACCACAACCGTTTACTACTTGAGTTCGAGCCGAAATCAGCATGTGGCAGGGGAGCCGCACAGCGGCAAAAGCGTTTGCGATGCTAGCTCGAATGCTTGGAAAACATTGCTGTAGAATTCATTGGACCTTGCAAACAACTGCCTAACATGGCGAAGGACGTCAGGCCACTCTGCATCGAAGCAGCCTGCCTGTCAAAGGCGTAGCGTGCCTCTATGGAACAACATTTTGCGAAACCATATGCGCTCAGGTGCCTCAGTGTGAGACACAGAGTCCGCAAAGCTTCATGGAAAACCCAAGGAGCAAAAAGCAAGGGGCACCCTGGACTCCAGCATGCTTCAGCAGCTACCCCGCTTCGGGCGCAATTGATCAGTGAGAGCTTGCCGTGAGCGCGTTGGGCTCGATGGCCTTGGGTAGTCCTCAAATGTCACGAGTTCAACTGCGGCGGACTCTGCGAACGTTTGGAAGGAGACGAATGTGGGCAGGACATCTTCCTGCATTTTTTCCAGCTTGCTAGGTTATGTGGATGCCTCCGGTCACACACGTCTCCGATGCTGTCATGAAAGTCTTGTTGCTGTAGTGGCAAGAACGACTGTGGCAAGCTCCATATGTATCATCCGCGGTGCGGCCATTGCAGAAGCAAGGCCCTGGCAGCGAATGCCTGCAGCTTGTGCAGCAAATGCAGTGGCGTTGGATGTGTGGTGCAGGTAGGCATGGCCTCAATCCAGCACAGCAGGTTTGGACGCAGGTGTTGCAAGGCCATGGCTTCCATAATGTGGAGGGACCAGGGCCACAACTGATTCCGTTGCCAGCACTGCGAAAGGGCACCAAGAGTGGTTGAAAGCGTCAGTACATCTGGCCGTACTTCCCGTAAGCTTGCCACAGCCGAGAGTCCCAAAGCCCTCTCCCACAAGGACTTGCTCTTGCAAGCGTTGAGCAGAATATTTATAGGCTCGATTGCTGAAGGCCAATTGAGCAGACACAGGGCGGAAGTCCAGTTGCTGCTCTGGCCGCAGCAGGACATGGCACTGCTTTGCGTTACGCTGTCTTCCAGAAAGCTTGTTCTGGCTGCGGCAAGCTGCTGCAGCGCATCCCTCCACGACTTTGGCTGCAGAGCCGCCAGGGCTGTTCCTGCCGCACACGGGAAGAGGCAGATGTTAAGACACCATGTGCGGCATGCTAGATTCAGGACATGTCATGGCAGAGAAGCTCTGCAGACAGCATCCCGTTTGCTAGTCATCCAAGATCCAAACTCAGCCAACCTTGCGCAACGCTATCGGCTTGGAGCTGTCTCCTGCGCAGCCTTAGCCACGGTTTGTGCTATCGTGCAGGACATGCATGGCTGTGTTGAAGGCCGGGCAGCTCTCCGAGAAGCATAGTTGCTTGGCTCCTTTGACGCCCCCTTTCGCAAGCTCCAGCAGCTGCCGTAAAGCTGACAGCCGTAGCAGGACTGTCCTGGCCAGCAGAGCAATACACCGGAGTACAACCCTTGCCCCACTGGATGCCGCCTTCAACCCATGCTTATAGATCCTCGCCGCTTACGCAGTCTTCACACCAGCTAGCAAGTGATCTGTTGATCCATCTCGGGACTATGAGCTTACAGACATGGTAGGTCCGGTCTGGATGCACGTTTCTCCTTGTTCTTGAGCAGGTGATGTACCAATCCAACAGCAGCCTGGCAGGGCAACATCTTGCCTGCCTGATGATTGTAGATATGCCTTGCTGTCCTGCCAGCATGCAACATCGCCACAGCCGCCTGATGCACGGCATACATTCTGACTTGACAGGCCAAATCGTCAAACGACAAGAGAAAGCTATGGGCTCGGCTGATTGCAGCATTGACGGCGATATTGCTGACCAGGAGCCCACAGATAGCAGAGCATCGGAAAGCCTGCAGGGATATCCAAAAAGTCGACGTCTTAAATCTCAAGCCTATACGAGCAGTAAATCAGCCACGCACCTGGCCTGCAATGCCTGCCATTTGTCAAGCTTTGGCGAAGCCCATGAACATTCGTGAAAGTGTGTGCTTTCAAACACCCCTGCTTGCGATTGGGATTGCTTGTGCCTGCTGCCAGGGCAAAGTGCGGGCAGCAATTGCCAGAAGCACACCTTGCCAACATGAACGACGAGTTGATACAGCAGCTTGGACAAGAGCAGGCATTTGGCGCCAAGGCCCGATGTCATCTTCACTGAGGGTCACGCTGCTTGTTCTCACCTGTGTTACTTGGAAGTCCTGGTGTGGGAAGGCCGCATGCAATTTTCCAAAAAGTAGGAACTGCCTATAGCCGTCCTGTGTGCATAGCAAAATGGTGTCATTTCCACAGCTCTTGCGGATCCTGTAGCACCCTGCAGGCTGTCTACATCCTAGCTTTACATTAAACTCATTAAACATTGGGTGCAGGCCTTTGCTGCCCCTCTGGCTCCGTGTTCATGTGCAACGGTGGCTAAGCAACAGTCAGTAGGAGACAGGGCTCGTGCCAAAAATCCTGGCACCAGCTTTTAAACAATTCTAACTTGCCATAGGGTTTCAGCGCTTAAGTTCGCTGCTATGTAAACTTGCAATACATGACATGGGTCAGTCCATCTGCCTCAAGGGATCTGAAACCCTGCGGTGCATTTAAACAATGTCCCAGTCTCGAAGCAGACGCTTGGTGGCCTAGTCCTTCCGCAATCGCTTGGCCAGCTTGGATCTGAAGTTTTCTGCAGCCTTCTGATCAGAAAGCTCCTGCAGAACGGCTCCAGGGCTCTGGGGGTTGATTCTAATTCTTCAGCTGTTCAGCTTTATCGCAGGATGTGAATGCAAAAGCCATTCCTTCTCTTGATGCATGAATGATGTGAGTAGGCAGCCTTGAGGATGCTGTCACTGTCGACTTCAGCAGCCCTGAGTAAAGGCAGCGCTTTCGCTTGTTCCATATGCTCGACCACACCGGCAGCATCCGTGTACCTTGAGCGCGCGTCTAGAGTCTAAGTTTTCAGCGACACTCAGGTGTATAACGCCAAAGTTCCAGACCTCCGGCCAACTGGGTGTCTACCAGCCCGATACCTATCCTCAAAAACGCAGGACTGCCAACAAAGCCCTTCCCAAGTCACCTTCCTTTCTGCGCTTTCGTAGGTGAACTTCTTTCTTTCACGTCGCTGCATACTACAGATCGCGCTCTTACCTCAAGCACGCGCTGTCTTCGGCGCTCGATGGCGATAATTCTAAGCGAAGTTTATTGGCACGCGACATCTGCGACAGGGCCATGCTATGTGGCCTCGTGGGCTGTTGGGAAGGCTCGCTTCAAGTGCGTCCCCTACGAGGGAGAGATTTAGAAGTTGGCTCTCCAAGCCATTCATCTTGGGGACCATTTGTGTGGGAACACTGGTGCTTTTGGACCCATGGTAGCCCCCTTGCTGCCACCAGCAGCTGTGCTCAGGCTTTCCGCGTCACGGTGCTTTTGGTGCGCCTGTAGCGCTACATCTCATAACCAACGAAGCAGAAAAGTTTGGCCCTGACTGCCTGCCCCATGCCTTCCGCAACTATTCCCTCACCATCTCCTTCCTCGGTAAAAAAGTGTACGAATAGACGATGCCACACGGTCAAAGAACACAGTCTGGAAAACCCATGACTAAACATATCTTCTTCACACATTTCAGGGCTCTAAGAGAAAGCTCCGCCTATACTTCTTGCATCTGCATACGTTGATAACATGTCGAGCCAAAAACATGTGGCGGAGGCACTCCTTTACGAAGAGATTGGCCATCAAACCCCCTCCTGGCCCCGTCTGAACTCAAGTGATTTGCAACGCCGATTATCAAGTCCTGGGGCTCAGGCTCCAGACCCGCCAAGACCGCAGCGGCTTCCGACATACGCATCTTGCCCCTACAGTGTCCGAACTCTACCCAAAAAGCTGCCGCCTCCGCAAAAACAGCAGTTGAGCTACATTCAGTATTACCCGTGTAAGTAATGGACATGGGTTCCATATTAGGGACTATACTAGGGACCGTGCTAAAGTACAAAAGGGACGTCTATGTCCACTGTTAAGGGTCCCGTACGGAAGCTAATATTGGCAGTAGCTCACTTGGTAAATAAGACTCCGACAGAATGTCGCTGGCAGCATCATATTCAAGCTCTGCAAGAATACCAGCAGCAGCTGGAGCCTGCCAGCAGTTGGGCAGTTCCTAAAATTAGGGTCCCATTTTGGTACCCCTACATATTAGGTGCCGTGATATAACCTATAAGCAAAAGGGGCCCATAATTTTGAGAACAGCCCAGTTGCCACAGGTGCTTTCTATGGTGGTCAAGCCACTGCCAAATCGTGAGTGCATGCATGCTCAAACGACGCCTCCATCTGCATGCATACCTTGCATGCATCAGATACCTCCATCTCGCTGATGATTGCAGCCTTGAATAGCCACATGCAGCTTGACTCTCGTCATGTTGACGCGGTGAAGGCAACAAACCGAGGGCCGCTCTGCCTTTGAATGTGACTGCGCCTTAGTGGTTGACATGATTTGTGTTGTTCGCAGCGAAGCTGCTCGCTTCCAACCAAAATTTGCTTTGAGTCACCGGCAGCTGTCAAGATGTTGGCAGCCGTTTCATGGTCCAGCGATGCTACTATGTAGGCTGCCTCGCCAGCCTGTCAGGCACTCTACCCTGCAGCCAAGTACTGCGCAACTGGGGCTTCAGATCATACCTTTTAAAACGTCTCATTATGCCTACTCGAAAGGGGGGCCGGCAGGCCTCCATTTGTGTAAGGAGATTTGAGGCTCCATCAAACTCCATTTCAGCAAGAGCGGCAGCAGCATAGTCATATTCCATCGCAGCCACGATTTCAAGAACTGTGTCTTCATCTGCAGCAGCCAGGATTGCAGCAGCCTGCGCAGGCTTGAAAGATCCCGGAGAAGAAAAAGAAGCACCGCAGGGTGGAGAATAAGCCGCTGCGCAGCAGTAGCAGAAACTGAAAACTCGTAAATCCTTCCAGTTTGCAGGAACCTGGTTTCTTAACCGTCTCAGAAGAAATGCCCTTCCGAATCCGGTGTTCTTTTCACAGACGCACAGAATGTCTAAAGCAAGCCACAATCCAGCCTCCTGAGCCTCCATCTCGGAGACGATTCCTGTAGCATCTCCCATGTCCAGCTCTGGCAGAATGCCGGCGGATGTGCCAGCATCCTGGGCTGCCATTTCACGGAGAAATTTACGTTGCCAGCTTCTACATGTTCCAGGTGGCCTAAAGTGGCCGAGAAACGGCCTCGGCTAGCAGGCCTGCAGCTGCATCATAGTCCATCTGGCTCACGACCTGGCGGGTCCAACATCAAATTGACTACCGCTGCACTACCATAGTTACGCGCCCGCTCATTTGCAACAGCCTGTTCCATGATTTCCCAAGCTCCTCAGAAGCAAGTCAGGGACAGGGCTGCACCAAGTTTAAATTCGTGAAGTGGCAGCCTCCCAAAATTTCCCAAAGGGGGACTTCAAAATGAAGCTCTGGGTTGAGCAATCCAGGTGTTGTTCGTAAGCACATGGTGGATCTGTGAGGCTAAGACGGAGGGTCGATGTCAGAAATTTGGGCGACCAGTGCATCTCAAAAAGGACACGGCAAATAACAATCAACAACATATACAAACCATAGATGTTTCTGAGCTCCAATTTCATAGATAAGGAAGAAGTCCATAGCAAACGTTGAGGGCGGTGATAATACAGCAGGGCAGACTGCGTGCAGAACTGTGTGTTGAAGACGTGCCCCACAAAGAAAGCTGGCAAGACCACATCTTGAGTGTAATCCTGGCGAGTTAGAATCCATGCGAAGCACGTCTTCTTCCACACAATCACTGTGTGGTTGTTGGATCTTACCAAGAAAATTCTCCGTTCCCTATCACCCATGCACTGGCGCAGTGCCTACGTAGCCTCATTCCTTCAGTGCACAACCCCATAGTATCCCTACAGTGCCCAACCGCACCTGGATTGCCAGGCCCCAGAGTGCCCCTGCTAACGCATCTGCAGTGCCCTTCTACAATGCCCAACCCAGCATTTCTCGAGGCTTGTCTCGATGCTAAACACTTCATTTAGGGGCGGGGATGCTTAAAGTAGTTTTGCAGCAGCTTAACTCTACGCAGAAGGCCCAACACTTTAGGCGTGAGCCTGTGCAGCACTTTCAGCGTCCATGCAGGAGATGATGCCAGCGGAGTCCGTATACCTGGCAATTTTCAGGCCGCACAAGATGTCTGCAGTTACTGGAATTCATATACTGTCGTTGTTTGCTGCTGCGCAGCTCCATGTCCGAAACCACTGCTGCTGCTGCATCCGCATCCATTTCTGCAATGATCCTAGGCTCTGATTCTCAAGACCCTAGTGACTTGTCACTGACAGGCAAAGGACCAAGAACGAACTGTGGACAACATGCAGCTGGGACATGCGTATCTACACGCAGACTTCCAGAATGAACTCATGTTCCCGGCTTCAGCCATCTCATGAGCACGTCAAGGGTCTTTGATGCTTCTTCATGCTCTAATTGTGGCAGGACCGTTGCCGCGGTTGAAGAGTCCACATGAGATATAACCGAAGCCGCGTTCTCATACTCCATCTCCCCTTAGTTGGTCGGAGCTAGCCTTCCAAGAAGTTCGAGTAGCCAGAAACACTTTTCTGACTGTGTTTCATTCCGACCGTTGCAATTTTCAACAAAGCAACCAACTATGCCAGCTACATCGTCAACTTCTGCAGCCTCCATGATACCTCCAGCATGCTCGGCCTCGGCTTGACTTGAAATTTTGAATTCGACGTTCCAGGTCAGACTAAAATGAAACACTAGATTCTGGTGTGGACACCAGTGGGCGTTTTCCTCCTCTACGGAGGGGTCGGCAATGGGAAGGTCTGCCGAATCGGCAAGTGGCTGGTTGATGCAAATATTTCCCAGGTTGGCCCCGACGGCAACCAAATCCCTGACGAATATTTCCACGTCACGTTTTGACTGGTTGCCCATGGACTTTAATGGGTATAGGACAATTGTTTTACTGTCGGGACTGTCAAATTGGAAACCTGGTTTTAGTTCCAGAAACTACGTATTTGGCAGCCTTTCTGCATCTGGACTCTGCTAGGTGCGCAGGCAGAATGTCATTCTGCTCCGCAACATGCGACACTCAGAGACTGAAAGCACCATAGAAGTTGCAAGCGCAAGAACATCTGGGGAATCTGTGGGACAACATGTCAAACACAGGTTCTTGAAGCTCTACCTGCTTTACATCCGGTTTGGCGAGCTGTTCATAGTGGCTCATGGCCAGGCATAGGCCACTCGCACTGCTGCAAAGACGCTTCCATCAAGGCAAGCGCTGCGGCAGAAAAGTCGTAGTCTAGGTCAGCAACGATACCAGCAGCCACCTCTGCTTCCATCTCGGCCAAGATTTCGGCCTCAAATCTGACACAGCACCTTCAGCACATAGCAGCTCAAAGCGCAGACTTTTACGCAGCTGCCTCCTGAGGAGTCACATGATGGCTGCAACATAAAGGGCGACTTGCTGAACCACTTGTAACGTGCAATCAGCATCTGCTGCTAAGCTTCTGTACATTCTTCCGTCAAATGACCAGTGATCTCAGCTGATTTGGCATACGACTGCGAGGCTGCCAATATGTGTGCTGCAGTCTCTGCTTCCTGAGCTCACCGAGGACTGATGCTGTAGAAAACTCATGAAAACTCTAGGCTCAAATCATGCAACGCCTGCGCGTTGTTTGTTCGGTAGCAGTGGTTCAATGCAAGACACATGCTTGTCATATCTTGTCATATCAAGTCATTCCTTGTTAGCGTCGTTTGCACTGCAAACAGCAGAAAATATCTAGTTGGGAGCTGGTGTTCGTCTTTGGCTGAAGGCAACCGGGCCCGGTTTTCACAAGCAAATGCAAAACATGCTGCAATATTTTCCCTTTCGAGATTTAGATGGAGGAGTTGTATGTGTCATGAGGGGTGTGGTCTCAGGGGACAGAAGCCCTCTATACCCTTGCATAACTCGGACTGCGAAACCCAAGGAAACCCAAGAATTTTGCCTCCTCAAAGACACATGAGTTGGGGGCTTCCTCGGAAATAACAACGAAAGGAAATGTATCTAGGGGGCCTTAGGCCACGACCGAGGTTTTGGAAGGGTTACGGGTTCGAGCACCATTCAAGGGGTTGATTGTATTTTGCCTGCCCTTCTACCATGACTATAACATGCTACAACCTTCATTCAGCTGACTCAAGCCTTGTCAATTGGATGCTCACACCTGACGCGACCTGTGCCAGTTGCATGCCATTCTTGTCCAGTACTGTCCCCACCTCTCCCTTGATGTCGCTTACGCCCAGGCAGGCCAAGGCTTCCAGAGAGCACCGGGAACACGTGCCAGGTTAGTAGTAGTAGTAGTAGTAGTAGTAGTGGTGGTAGTAGTGTAGTAGTGGTAGTAGTAGTAGTAGTAGTAGCAGTAGTAGTAGTAGTAGAAGTAGAAGTAGAAGTAGAAGTAGAAGTAGAAGTAGAAGAAGAAGTAGTAGTAGTAGTAGTA